TTTTTTATAGTGAGCATAAACTTTTAGGTTCGCAGTTCTTATCTTTTATTCCATTAAAATATTGGTCTACGGGTTCTTATTCCCACCACTAGGAAGTAAATTGTCAGTCTTAATATTCCTTTGAAGGCAATGTGTCTTTGTTCTTTGGCTGCCTTTAAGATTTATTCTTTATCTTTCATCGTCAGCAGTTCTATTCCAGCTAATCTTTTCTTTGTGTTAATCCATCACAGGCCTGGAGAACTTTCTACATCAATGGTTATTGTCTTTTGTTATCTTTGGACAATACTCAGACAATACTTTTCCAATTATTCCTCTTATTCAATCTCTCCTGTCATTTTTGTTTACCAATTAGACATCTGTTGGTTCTTTTCATGTCTTCCCTTTTTTTATTTTGTTTTCTGGTGCACTTTGATTGGATATTTACTGATTATCTTCTCTGATACAATTTCTATTATGAATCTTGGATTAATATAAATAATGAATTAAATTCTTAAATTTCCATTATTATCTTTTTAAAACTTACCATATGTCTCTGAGTATTTCTATTATAGCAGTTTTCTCGTGATATTTCCTATCTTGCTTTCTATGTTTTCACATGTCAGTCATAGTTATGTAAAAATATTCAATAACCACAAAATCTGAACAAGACTATTTGTACTGTTGGGTTTTTTTCTTTTCATAAATTTTGGTCCTCAGCATTTCTAATTCCTTATTTAATACCAGATATTTTGTGCCAGATGTTGCAAAATTTTACTTACTGTTAACCTCCTCCAAAGAGCACTTAGTTTTCTCTGGTAGACAAATAGATTACAGATAAGATGACCTCATTTTCATTGAGAGAGTTTTAGTATGACCTGGCTGGTGTTTTTGCTAATTTGTCATTATTTCTAGATTTTGGCCTTTTGAGGTGTCAGCTGAAAGTCAGAAGTGTTTAGCAGGACCATTCCATCTAGCAGGCTGTAAACTCCATCTTCTACCTTTCCTGCACCACAAGACTGCTGAGTCTTGGCTGTTCAGTTTAGCTGCTTTCTGCTTGCACTGGGTAGTTACACCCTGAGGAATAAATTTCTCCAAAATGTTGCTCACAAAGTTTGGGCTTACTTCTCTTCTCTTTTCTTTATGGGCCTATCTCCTTGACAAAGCTAAATGCCAATATATTATTTTCATTCTAGGGAAATTGCTCAAAGCTCCAGCTACTTCTGTTTGCTTACTATTTTTGTGAGTTTTTTCTTTAGTTAAGCTTAGCTAGTATACAATATTATATCAGGTATAAAATATGGTATTTTGACATTTTATATCTTACAATGTGATTATACTACTAATCCTGGTAATCATCTGTCATTGTATAAACATCATATATATTATTGACTATGTCCCCCTTTACCTTTCTCATCCTCTCTCCATCTCTTTCTCTTCTAGCAGGACCATTCCATCTTGCTACCTTTGGTCTCTTTTTCTTTGAGTCTGTTTTTGTTTTATTTTGTTTATTCACTTTTTCATTTTCTTTTGTTTAGATTCCATACATAGGTGAAACCATATGGTATTTATATTTCTCTATTTCACTTAGCATAACACCCTTTAGGTCCATACAGGTTGCTGTAAATGGGAAGATTTCATATTTTATTGCTGTATAAGGTGCCAACATACACAAGAGGTCTGTCTGGAAAATGTCCAGTCATTGTTAATATAATGAGAACAATTTGTGCAACATAGATGTAACCTGGCAGCCAAGGGGAGTGGACTGGAATGTGCGTGAATGAATAATGACAACTTCGCTGTGCTAGTCAGTGGGGACAGTAGGCACCATTAAGTGACCATGTATATGGTGTACTCATTGCACTCAAAATGATGTCCCATTGAGCTAGTAGAGCAAGGAAACTGCGTCAAATTTTGCATTAAGCTTGAACATTCCTCCATGGAAACTATTCAGGTAATTCAGAAGGCTGCAGCTCTGAGCAACTGGTGATTGGCAGCTTCATCATGACAATGTGCCCATTCATGTATCACAGTTCATGAATTTTCTGGTTAAACATCAACTTACCCAGGTGACTCAGCCCCACTACAGCGTGGATTTGGTGCTTTGAAACTTCTGGCTATTCCCAAAACTAAAATCACCTTTGAAAGGGAAGAGATTTTAGACTGCTGATAATATTAAAAAAATATGATGGGGAAGCTGATGGTTATTGAGAGAACTGTGTGAACTCCCGAGGTACCTACTTTGAAGGGGACCGAGGTGTCACTGTCTTATGTACAATGTTCCTTGCATCTTGTATTTTCTTCAATGAATATTTCATATTACATGGCTGGATACCTTCTGGACAAACATATACCCTGAGTCACCTGGGTGAATTGATGTTTAACCAAATGTGATACATGAAATGTGATACATGAGTGGGCATATTGTCATGATGAAGCTGCCAGTCACTAGTTGCCCAGAGCTGCAGCCTTCTGAATTACCTGAATAGTTTCCACGGGGGAATGTTCAAGCTTAATGCAAAATATGATGCAGTGTCCTTGCTCTACTCACTCAATTCAATGGCATTTTGAATGCAACAGCTACACAGTACACATGCTCACTAATGGTGTCTGTATACATAGACACCTTTGAGTGTCTATATATATGTATATATATTGTCTATATATGTGTCTGTGTGTATATATACACATAAATATCTGATATATATCTTCTTTATTTATTCAATTACTGATGGATACCTAGGTTGCTTTCATATCTTGGCTATTGTAATAATGTTGAATAAACATAGGGGTGCATATATCTTTTTGAATTAGGGTTTTTGTTTTCTTCGGATAAATACCCAGAAGTGGAAATGATTTTACTTACCTGAATTTAAGTAGACAAATGTCCTGGCAAAGCAAAGTAAAGTGTCATCTTACCTTAGTTTTGTTTCCCTCCTCTCTGCAGCTTAGGAGATCCAGTCTGCCTTGGTTGTTTCTTCAAGAATTCAGTGATTGCTTTACATATTTTATTCAGTTTCTCTAATTGTGTTTGCTAAAATAATGTTTGGCAGGATTTTTTTTGTTAATGTGTGGTAAACAGTTTTTTATTAGTATAAGGACATTCTCATTAATTTCTCATTTGCTAGGAGAATTTTTATAAGTGGTTGTTGAATTTTATAATATTTTTCTCTATCTGAAATGATCAAACCATTTTTTTCTTTAATAGATTTTCTCGTGTTGAAGCATACTTTTATTTCTGGGGGAAGAAGGGAGAAACTAACAGTTTATAATTGACTATATTTTGAAGACACTGTAAGATTTAATTAGTTTAATTTATTTTCTTCTATTTTATTTTTTTGATCTCAGTAATATTGACTGAGTTTTCCTTTCTTATTATATTCTTGCCAGGTTTTGATATGTAGATTTTACAAGTCTCAAGAATAAGTTGGGTAGTTTTCCTTCCTTCCTTCCTTCCTTCCTTCCTTCCTTCCTTCCTTCCTTCCTTCCTTCCTCTCTCTCTCCCTCCCCCCTCCTTTCTTTCTTTTCTTTCTTTTACACCTACATGGCGTAAAAGGGGATTTAAAGATTTGGAGGCAATTTAATTTGGTCTATGTATTCCTGCTGTCAATCTTACTCTTTTGGTGCATTTTAAAACATATACTTGTTTAGCCCTGGCTGGTGTGGCTCAATGGATTGAGTGCCAGCCTGGGAACCAAAGGGTCACTAGTTCGATTCCAAATCAGGGCATATGCCTGGGTTGCAGGCCACGGCCCCCAGCAACCGCACACTGGTGTTTCTCTCTCTCTCTCTCTTTCTCCATCCCTTCCCTCTCTAAAAAATAAATAAATAAAATCTCTAAAAAAAACATGTAAGTAATGATATTATTAGTGAGATACTTTATACTTTTTTCATACTAAATCTTCAAAATTCAATCTTCATTTTATACTTGTAGCACATCTCAACTGTAAGCCATCCAATATCAACACATCTACAGTGTTGATACTGTATTGTATACAGTAGCCAGTGGCTACTGTATTAATGGTAAAGATCAAGATCATGGTTGATTTTAGTACCTTTAATAATGCTAAATCTAGCATCTCTAAATGCAAGACCCCAAATTCTACTGATTTGACAAAGAGCAATATTCTTCAAAAACATTTTAATATATGTTATTACCCCATTAGATTTTGAGGGGGGTTTGTTTGTGTGTTTGTTTGCCCAATTCTGGAAAAGCAAAATTTCACTTACCAATATTTTTGAATATTGTTATAGGTTAACTCTATACTTTAGAAGAATAATATGGAAAGTTTTACAGTTTCAATCATCCGATAGTATTGATTTTACCTAGGTTAATTTTTTGTAAGTGGTGCCACAAAACTTACAGAAGGTTCATCTGCTGCAGTTACATTTTTTTTGTTTTGTTTTGTTTTAAGATTTTATTTACTTATTTTTAGAGAGGGAAGGGAGGGAGAAAGAGAGAGAGAGAGAGAGAGAGAGAGAGAGAGAGAGAGAGAGAGAGAGAGAAACATCAATGTGCGGCTGCTGGGGGCTGTGGCCTGCAACCCAAGCATGTGCCCTGACTGGGAATCGAACCTGCGATGCTTTGGTTTGCAGCCCAAGCTCAATCCACTGAGCTACACCAGCCAGGGCTGCAGTTACATTTTTTAAGCTTGTGAGCTAGTGGCTGGGTTGCAAGTGTAGTTAGTTTCAATCACTGCCATCCTGTTATTGATACACTAATTTTTATATTGATATTTAATAAAGTCAATAGTTCTACATATAATTCATAAATATTTTAATATCATATAGATTTTATTGATAAGCTGCAAATTTTTATTGGATTATATACTAAATAATACTGTTTTTAAACTGTAGTTTTCAAACTGTAGTAAAAGTAACTTGAAAGAAGTATTATCATTCTATAAAAATTTGAAAAGGTATAAGTTGACTGACAGATCAAAATAACCTGGAATAATGTCTGGATTTCAGGCTTAATAGTAAAAACTACCTATGGTTATATAATGTTTATATTATTCCCTTAGAGCTACCAGTGCATGTGCCCATCTGGAGGAGAAGGATATTTTTGTGAACAAGAATCCAATGGCTGCAAAATGAATCCTTGTGAGAACAATTCCACCTGTACTGACCTTCACAATAGCTACCGGTGAGAAATGTACTTATCACTTTTTTCATGAAATTACTTGGGGTGTTCAATGTCCTTGGGTTGCATCCAGATATTATTTTTACTTTATATCCATTTAATTGAAATAACTATTACAAAACAAAGAACCATTTTCTGACCCTATAGTGTCCCCTTCATTTGAAATTTACATACACCGAAGTCCAAATGTCAGGTCACAACAGGAATCAACACATTAAAACAGAGAGTAAAATCGTGGTTACCAGATGCAGGATGTTGGGGGCATAGGAAAGATGTTGCATAAGGGTACAAACTTGAAAATGGGAGATAAATAAGTCCTAGAGATCTAATGTACAGTATAGTGAATATAGACAACAATATTTTATTAGAATCACCCAACTTGTTAAGATACTAGATCTGAGTTATTCTGAGCACACAAAATAAATTATTATTATTATGTGACATGATAGAAGGGTTAACTATGTTACAATGTCAAACATGTTACAATATATAAATGTATGAAATAAATATGTTGTAGAACTTAAATTTCTATGGCTTTATTAAATATATATTTTATTTTTTAAGCTTCTTTTTAAAGATTTTATTTATTTTTATTTTTTTTAGAGAGGGAAAGAAGGGAGATAGAGAGATGAGAGAGAAACATCAATGCCTGGTTGCTGGGGGTTATGGCCTGCAACCCAGGCATGTGCCCTGGCTAGGAATCGAACCTGCATCACTTTGGTTCGCAGCCCGTGCTCAACCCACTGAGCTATGCCAGCCAGGGCTTAAATATATATTTTAAATATTAAGTCTATCTCAAATAATAAAGAAGCACATTTTAATTTGTAAATGCAATTTCCAGATGTGGCACATGTGACAAGTACAATTTACTTCTTCAAAACATGTTTTGGCTGTCTCAGCCTTGTTTTAGTCCATTCCATCCATACTATGCAAGTACCACGATATGACTCCTTAGTGGGTCTGGAGAATTTAAACTTTGTTGCTTAGAGATTATAGTGAGGTTGGATTGCTTTAGTCAAGTTACTGATAGATTTTACAACATAGTTAACCCACATTCTCATATTAAATTATATTAGTTATGTTTTAGATGAGAAGTTTAAAGAAACTCTAAATATAAATTTGGGGTAGTTATTGATATTTCAAAAGTTTAATAACCAAATATGTATTGGTTAAATTATTCTTTGACTTTTTTGGTATGCACAGTGTTTCTCAAAGGGATGCAAAACCAGGTGTACTGCCACAGGAGTGCAATAGAATCTTGTCCTAGAGCAGATTAAATGAATACAAATATACATAGATGATTTTAGAGACAAATCAAAGCAATTTAAAGATGTCTTCCAAAATAATTCATAAACTTTCTTTTGCTTTGTGATTACCATTGAGAATTCTGGATCATCTGAAACATGTAACAGTTTTTACAAATGTTTCTCACATTTGGTGACTGAAATGGTATTTAAGACCCAGACTAGTAATATCATAGTTTTCGGTTTATTCCATTAAAGAATAATTCTGAAAAAGCTGACAATATTCATATTGATATTTCAATGTCAGGAAGAACAAATGAAAAACCTTGGTAATATAAAAAAATCTCACAATGCTAAGAGTTACTATTAGTTTAAAATAGACAAAAACCTAAAAACACAGCTATTTTTGTGATATTCACATACGGATATATCACAAATTAATATTAACTGCTTGTTAATTCAATTCTGCATTTCAGTGTGTGTGTGTACTTACACTGCCAATCACATCCAGACAAACACCAGCAGCAACACACCTTTAGTTGTATATACTGGGTTTATAATTCATTATCGAGAGGAAGACACACACTCTGTAAATCCATGGAGCATCTCAGTAAAAGGGTGCTGGAAAGAAATTAGAGGTTTGAGTTTATGACCTATAATTTGAGGAAAGGTTTAAGAAAGTGGGACCTTGACTTAGATAAGATATTGTCAGAAAGTGAAAAGAATTCTATGATTGGGTTCGTAACAAATCTTATCTAGAAGAATAGAAGACTAGACAGAAGTGAAGCCTAAATTTTTAAAGAGGTAGCAATCATTTATACTAGCCAGGATTGGTGAGTATTTGTGGTATAATGTTCATGTTTTTGTCATATTCAGATATGATTATAAGGTAGACATGTTTTCATTATGATTCATCAGGATTGCAGAATAACCCTGTCTCATATTGATATTCTGCAAAATTGTTGAAATGTTCAACAGAACACCAAGTCCTACCTATAAACCTAGCTTTTAGTACCCGTATAGCTCTTGGATGTCCTGGATGTTGTCTTTTGAGTGTATAAATAGTAGTGGAATTACTGGATCACGTGGTAATTCTACATTTAAGGAACTTTTGAACTCTTTTCCTAAGTGGATGCACTATTTTGCAATCTCACCAGTAATGTATGAGAATTTTTTTCTCTACACACTTGTCAGTACTTATCAATGCCTTTTTATTACAGCTGTCACAGTTAGTGTGATATTAACCATCTTCCTATGAACCACCTTAAGATGTGCTCCTTCACTATCTGTGTATATTCTTTGAAGAAATCTATCTTTAAATTTTTCTTATCATGAATTGTGTTATTTGTATTTTAATTACTGAGTTGTGAGAATTTCTTCACATGTTTTGGATACAGGTTGCTTATAAGAGATGATTTGCAAATATTTTCTCATTCTGTGGGTTAAGTTTTCACTTTCTTGATGGTGCCCTTTGAAGCACAATTTAAGCTTTGATGAAGATCAGTTTATCTAAGTTTTGTTTTTTTGACACTATCATGTTTAATGTCATATCTAACAAACTATTGCTTAATCCAGGTTGCAAGGTTTCAACTTCATTTATTTACATGTAGATATCATTTTGTTCTAGCATCATTTCCTAAAAAAAAAAATTCTTTGCATATAAATTGTCTTGGCATCCTTAAAATCATTTGAACAGAAATGTATCATATTGTTTCTGGACTCTCAATTTCATTCCATTGATCTATGTCTATCCTTATTTAAATACCACTCTCTATTATTGTGGCTGTTAGTAATTTTGAAATTGGGATGTATGTCCTAAGTTTTCTTTATTTTTAATTTTAAGATTGTTTAGGCTCTGCTGATACCCTTGTATTTCTGTCTAAATTTTAATATAAGTTTATTAATTTCCATAAAAGAAGGTAACTGAGATTCAGATAAAGATTACATTCAATCTGGAGATAAATTTGGAAAATATTTCCATATTAATAATGTAAGTTTTTCAATACATGTTCATGAAATATCTTTCCATTTATTTATGACTTCTTTAATTTTTTAACCATGTTAATAGTTTTTAATATGTATTACTTTCTTGTTAAATTTGATTCATTTTGATGTTAATTATGAATGGAATTTTCTATTAATTCCATTTTGGGGTTTCCCCCTAATGTGTAGAAATATTACTGATTTTTATATATTGATCATGAATTCTGCAATCTTGGTACACTCATTTATTAGTTATAATTTTTTATTCCTTACAATATTCTTTTTAATTAAATTTATTGGGGTAATATTTATTAATTAAATCATATAGGTTTTAAGAGCGTGATTCTATAATATATTATCTGTATATTTCATTGTGTATTTACTACCCAAAGTCGTATCTCCTTCTGTAACTATATATTTGACCTCCTTTACCATTGTATGTTTTTTGCTCCTTTGTTGCAGATTATTTGTCCACACATGTATGATTTATTTCCAGGTTCTCAATTCTGTTCTATTAGTTTGTGTCTCTTCTGCCAATACCATGATATTTTGATTTTTGTTACTTTGCAGTATGATTTGAAGTAGTATCCTTTATTTTGTTAAAGTAGTATATCATAGAGATCCATTTGTGTATGTCAAATCATTTCTTTGTCCTGGAATGAATCCCACTTGATGTTTCAATGTTTTGTATTATCTTTTTAATGCATTATTGTATTAGATCTGCTAGTAAATTTTTTAAGGATTTTTTTGTTTGTATTCATCAGAGATATTGATCTTTAATTTTATTTCTTTTTGTTATCCTTGCTAGGTTTTGATATCAGGGTAATGTTGGCCTCACAAAATATGTTAGGAAGTATTGACTTTTCTTCATTTTTTGGAAGTATTTGAGAAGAGTGGGTGTTAAATTTTCTTTGAATTCTGTAGTAAAATCATCTGGTTTTGGACTTTTACTTTTTGGGAGCTTTTTGAGGTTCATTTATTATATTTTATTTTTAAAATATTTTATTTATTTATTTTTAGAGAGGGGAAGGGAAGGAGAAAGAGAAGGAGAGAAACATCAATGTGTTGTTGCCTCTCACACACTCCCTACTGGGGACCTGGCCTGACAGCCACCCAGGCATGTGGCCTAGACTGGGAATCGACCTGGTGATTCTTTGGTTCACAGACTGGCACTAAATCCACTGAGCCACACCAGCCAGGGTTGAGGTTGTTTTAATTTCCTCACTGTTGATTAGTCTATTTAGATTTTCTAGTTCTTCATGATTCAGTCTCAGAAAGATGTATTTCTAAGAACATGTCCATTTCTTCTAGGTTATTGAATTTAGTGGCATATGTATTATATCTGATTTAATAATTTTTGTCAAGTAACTCCAATACCCAGGCTTCCTTAGGGACAGTTTCAATTTATTGCATTTATTCCAATGCGTGGGCCATAATTTTCTGTTTTTACATAATGTATTTTTTATGAACACTTGATCTTTTACATAATATAATGTGGCAAGTCTAGAAATCAGAACCTGCTACTTTCCAGCTGTTACTGCTTCTGTTTGTTTGTTTGTCTAATGATTTCCCTGGAATACTGGAATAATTCTATAAATTATATACCTTTTGTCAAGTATGGCTATTGTAGTCTCTGCTTGGCTATCCTAGTTGTCAGCTAATGAGTTAACAGATATTTTCTTAATTTCCTTTAACAAATAAGTTTTCAGCTTCCTCTCAGGGAATAATTTGTCCACATGAAGGAATGTATTCAACACTCAGCCAGGCAGGTTATAA